TCAAAGGCCATTCTTGTCTTCTCGGTTAACCTGATACGTTTGTTTAACGACTCGGTTTCTTTGTTCGACAATCTTGCCCGGAGCAATTGCACATCTTGGGTGCTGCCACCTTTTATCCATACCATACCATACCGTACCGTACCGTACTGTACCGTACACCCTGGTCGAATCGGACATCGAACCAAGCAGAGAGCTCCGAAAGCAAACATCCCTCCATCCAATTCAATTCGATTCATCCGAACAAAGACAGTCCCTGGCCTGGTCGGATCCACCGAAAATCCAATTGAACCGAATCGAATCTTCAACAACAGTTACTACGGTCCTGTCCTGTCCTGTCTTGTCTTGTTTTGTCTGCCTGTAGCCCTACTGCACTCCGTCTGCAACTGCAACTGCAAGCACTGCACGAGCCATTCGTACTACCACGCCCACGCCAAATTACTTGTACCTACCTACGCACGCCCTCGTCGATCCGGCCCCTGCTCGCGCCTCCAGGTCTCGCCTCGATACCTATCGACTCTCCCTCTATAGACTTATTTACGACCGCGACGCCCCGAAAACCAGCTTCAGCTTTGAATCAAGCTTACAACACAACACAGCACAGCACAGCTCTCCCCCGCCGTCCCTTGTGCAGTCTCGTGCTGCCAAAAGGGAGACCCCATCCCTGTCTCGCAGCGTCGTCCAATCGTCGATAATACTTTTTGATACTTACGTTTTTTCCTCTGCCGCGATTCGACTCCGAGGCGACGATACGTCATGACATACATTGTAAGTGTACAACACAAACTTGCTCTCCTCCAAGGTCGAATCTCCATGTCTCTCTCGACTTGACATGTCTTGTCTCGCTTTGCTTTGCTTTGCTTTGCTTTGCTTTGCTTTGCTTGTCTTTACTTGACTTGGCTCTCTTGTACAACCACATGCCAATTCCTGCCACGTCCGACGTCGCACCCTCCACGCTCCGAGCTGCTTCCTCCGCCCTCCACGTTCCTGTTCAACCTACGCCCTGGTCAATGAAGGCATCACACGCCATGCATTCACTTCACATGGTCGATAGCTTGTCTCAGCAGATCCCTGTCAGCCATGAATGAATGCTTTCCTCCTTGAGCCTTTGACTCTCTGCACGTCCCTAGACTAGGTCGAGCAGTCTCGCCCGCCCTGTTGGGTCCAGACATTTCTGGTACCTTTCTTTACCAAAGACCTCTCACACTCACACACTTCTATCATATATCATGATTCCTTTACCATGATCCCATTCCTATTCTCGTCCATCCATCCATACTCAGCAACCATGTCTTGGCTCTCATCGACGTTACTTCTCGACGTCGCTTTCGACCTTCCCTTGCTTTTATCCCCCTTGGCTTCATCCTCACATCCCTTCCCTTTTCACACCCTCGCTCTCGTTTCCTAGCTGCCAGTCCGTTGACGGCCCGTCTGCCGTACCTCCTAATGGCCCCCGAGCCGCCCGCTGTCTGTCTGACGTGCACTTTCGCTTTCACTTTCACCCTCACACACACCCTGTCCTGTCCTGGTCTGTCCTGTCCTTTCTTTATCCCCATCGCATCGCATCCCACATCCCACGCACCCAGCCAAAGTCTCTTTACTTGTCTGCACACCCTGACTAGGCACGAACAATACACAGGCGCACACAGACATGCACTTACATCCACACCGCTTCACCGCTTGACTTTGATTGCCCTGCCCTCGATTCAGCGTTGGTAGTCCCGGGGCAATCATGATGCTTCCTACTGGAATCCCAACTCACCGGTGCCACATCACTTCCCTACCTCAGCCCCATGACCTCAAGAACGGCCCGTTGCCGGTAGGAGAGGAGCCAGGGCGACCAAAACAAGCTGTCTCCGTACACCGAGATATATCACCACTTGCTTTGTTCCTATAATACCATGTCTCCCATCTCTACCCCTTGCAACCCTCCTATTCTGAGGCCTATTTATCCATACATGATCTATCCCTGTCCCATAACGTCATGAGCTTTTTGACATGAAAAACTTTCCCCAAGCCATCCTTTGTTGCTATGATCAATTCTCCCGGCATCTTGTGCATTACCTACCCCTTTGATCCACTGTTGCTCTCGCGCCAACTGGCCATCTGCTCGCAATGCGCAAGAATCAGTCACTAATGCCGTCTTTCCAGCTATGTCTTGCTCACTACTGCGACCTTCATGGCCCGACCCCTTTGATGGTCACTGAGGGTCTACCAGCCTCATGTACTGTCTGCTTCGAGGATGGTGCAGATCCAGCCGATAACAGACCACAATCGAGCGCGCATGCATCGTCGACTGCTCTCAACGACGCATTAAAGAACCTCGACCTCTCTAGGAGCGCTTCAATGCCAGCCTCCGAACAAGAGGCCCAGGCGCAACGTGCAGCGCTGTTGCGAAACTCTAGCAACTCTGGCGCAACACCCACTGCTATCGATACTCCTCCTGAAAGTCCACGACCGGCCCCTCCTCATCCTCGGCGCGATTCGAGCTTTCGAAGAACCTATGATGAGACTGTGACAAAGAAACAAGGCCCTTGCGATAACTGCGCAATGACCTTGCCGCGACAGCAAGCAGGATCAAATAGTGTTCATTTCGCAAACAATACTCGCGGACCAACATTGCGCACCCGTGCGCCAGCAGAACGGGTTTTCGGCGCAGGAGGTCAGGCATCGCCTCCCAACTCCCAGACCTCGAGTGATACCGATGGAGATCGGGATGAGGACCCTCGGGCTCGGCAAAAAATAACACCCTCGGTCAGCTCGCGCAATACCTCGCGATCAAGCAAGAGTGGTGGTACAGGCAATTCGACCGCAGCAGAACGGACACCCTTCCATGTTCACTACGTCGACTATACATCTACCCACGATCCGGTCCTACCCGACTCTTTCTCTCTTATTCGAGCATCTTGCTTGCGCACTCTATCCTTCGAGACGTTACCCCGGGCTCCATCTACGGCAAACCCCACTTCACCCGTTGCGACCTCTTCTCCGGCCTTTGTTACTACACAAAGCGCCGGCTCGGCTGTCACAGGCGGCCCCATCTTTTTCGGCGACGCCCTCGCCGGTTACACGACGGCTTATATCTTCCGTATTCCTGATGTACACGCACGGGGTCATAAGCGAGTGTATGCCTTCTTGGCGCTTAGTACTCACCGAGAGCGACTGGCCATGAAGACGTTTGCCGTGGTCTCGACCGCTTTTCGCGAGCTCGCTACATGGATCCAGCAACTGGCTGAAGCCGAGGCCGAGCGAGCGGCCGAGAACTCTCCTATTGGTAGCAGCATCTACGGGGGTGGCTATGCACCACCACCACCAACCGTCGAATCCTCTGGAGGCCCTGATCGCAATGGAAGCAGCTTTCTGACAGGTGGTAGCGGGTTCACCCGACGGATGGGTGGCGGCCCTGGTGCTTCAGCCCCAAAAGCCCGTGGTCTAGCGGAGATTGTTGGACAGCCTGATATCTTTATTGAGCTGCACCGGCGTTTCGTCCACCTTCTCTTTGAAGTTGGTGTTACCTTGAGCTCGTAATGAGCTGTTTATGCCTAATGGCATGCTCTATACGTTTTTCTGCTTCGGCACACCCACGGCAATCCCCCAGGATCAGGATGACTTTTCCTACCCTGTCCCGCCGGGATAATCTGGTCGCCGCAGATATACCCCAGCCTTACCAATGCTACTCTCCACGCCCAACCCAATGATACTGAACCGGTCAAAATCCGATTCGTTCTTGTTGGCTCGGCGCTCTTTTGTCCTTTTTTGGAGCAACAAGCGATGTATGATTTCACATACAAGCATACTTATCCGAGAGTAATGGTAATGGCTAATGGTTAATACCTCAATGAGGCAATGATCTCGATCGAAAGCTGCAGTCACTCAAGACCTACTGGTCTTTTCTCTATTTCCTTTTCACAATGCTCGAGGATTCTTGGCAATGCTGCTTACACCTTTCCGCAAGACCGGGGAGTTATACCCAGCGGCCGACTTGCCAAGAGCCTCGTGTAACTGTATTCTTACATGTATCGCCTTTGGAAGGGCTTTACGGCGTTGTCATTCGGCATATTTTGCACGGGGCATTTGATTCCCATTTGGCTTTTTGTAGCGTGTTTGTTATCTATTTTTGTGCGCAGAGAACTCGTCAGGACGGGAACTCCAAGGAAGCGGGCGAAACAAAATAGACGGATGGCGAGTTGAGGGAAACAAAACCGACAAGATGGACGGAATAATGGAGTTTGTGGCGAAGTAACTGTATTTTACAATTCTTTACCTGTTATCACTTGTCAGAGCGAGACAAACAGCCAGGAGTTGGAACGGTTTTATTGATAGACTTGTATGGAACATAGACAGGGAATTATTATGAATGGAAAACTACGGTAACTTACGAGTACTTTCAACTTGAACATGCCCCGTTGCTGTGTGCTATTGTGCGTGTTTGTCTGTCAAGCTCGAATGCCCGCCCAATATTGAGAACTCGGAGTTACCAAGCATTGAGAATGAGTAATTCGCCTCCGACTTGAATTGCTGGGAAAAAACTTGGACCCCCAATCTCGATGACACATACCGTTTACTCTTTATCGCCGCTGACTCTCAAAAGGACACATTGATGCATGCAAGCAGAGTATCACCAATGTCACCTCTGAAGTCGTATCCCACTTTGTTGGCTGCAGCAGTATCATGCTGTGTACGGACATTTTGCTCAGAGACATGTGATAGTCTGACATACATACCTACCTACAGAATGGTAAGATTGTTGAAATGTAACTCGAAGCATACATCGCGTAAATCAATCACTTCACCGGTGTGGACCTGGGTTGTAGAGACAAATTCATATCGCTTGCGCCGTCAATCGGCACGTTGATTAATCCTAATCTACCTTTCGCTCTAATTCGCCTCCCTTCATCTGGACTTTTTCCTTCCATATCCCCTTGGCCTGATAGTTGACGTATGTAATACAGGATAGATGACACACAAGAGTGCGTGAAACGATAAACAGACACCGAGTGAATCTATTTGTAGAAATCGAACTTGTTCTCTTCGCCGGTACCCTTGACCTGGCTTGAGTAGGCGTCCTCAAGATCACTCTGAATGATGTTGTAACGGTTCTTACGGACAGCACGGAGACCAGCCTCCTGCATGATCGCAGCGATGACAGCACCGGACAGAGGGTCGTTTCGGACAATGAGGGAGTCGAGATCGACTTCGGGAGCCAGACTCATCTTGCCGGCGATGGTGGAGAAGATGAGACGTCGTTCACGGCGATCTCGCAGAGAGGGGAATTCGATCTTTCGGTCGAGACGTCCAGGTCGGAGAAGAGCAGGGTCAAGAGTATCGGCTCGGTTGGTGGCCATGATGACCTTGACGTTAGCGGTCTGATCGAAACCATCCATCTGGTTGAGAAGTTCGAGGAGAATACGCTGGACTTCTCGATCGGCACCGGTCTGGGCGTCGAATCGCTTGGTGGCAATGGCGTCGATTTCATCGATGAAGATAATGGCGGGAGAGTTCTCGCGAGCCATGCGGAAGACATCACGGACCATTCGGGGACCCTCACCGAGATACTTCTGAACGAACTCAGAACCGACAACACGGATGAAGTTGGCGGTGGTCGAGTTGGCAACGGCCTTGACCAACATAGTCTTGCCGGTACCAGGAGGGCCGTAGAGCAGAACACCTCGAGGGGGGTCGATACCGATCTGCTTGTAGAGGTCAAAGTGTGTCAAGGGGAGCTCGACAGCTTCGCGAATCTCCTGCTTCTGCATGTCCAGACCACCGACATCGGCGTATGTCACATCGGGCTTCTCGTCGGCGCCAAGCATAGCAATGGAGGAGTCGGCCTCGGGGGGAAGAATATCGACAAGGGCGTTGGAGTGTCGATGGAGGGCAACCGAGGAGGAAGCCTTGAGCTTCTCCCGGTCGAGGGTAGAGAGGATTCTGACAACATAGTTGGATCCTGTGCTAGACTGCACGATTCCAGTACTTGGGATGCTGGTTAGCTCGTGTAGGATTGCCGGCTGCAGGTGAGCACATACTTTTGGTCAATAGCCTCCATAAACTGTCCTATAACTAATGGCACGCTCTGAATCCGCTTGATCTCTTCTTGAGCTCGTACAAGCTCACGCTTCAAACTCCTGCAAAGAATCAGTAAACCATAACTTGGTTTTGGACGGGATTGATAAATTACCTTTGCTCATCCTTGATATACTCTTCTTGCAGCTGGATGTACCTATTCGAAAGCTATCAGTTCCCCGCCACTTTTGCGATATCTGAGACTGGAGTATCGTACTCTAGTTGCCTCTGGAGCTTCTTGAGGTTCGCGTAGTCGTCTCCTCCATCGTTTGATACACCCTCGAAGTTATCAATGGTGGGAATGGCTGAGTGTGCGGCCCTCTTGTGAGGTGCCACTTGGTTTGCTGGGTTTTCGACAGCGACGTCACCCATTTTTGCGCTTCTGCTGTGTGGGTAAGATAGGTGAAATGATCGTGAGGATGCGGTGCAGATAGAAATACGCGCCGAGTCTGGGAAGCGACTGTCGTCGGGAGATACAGCGCTTGGTTGTTGTTTGGGTCGTTGAGGGAGTGATGGAGCTGCTTCGAGATGATGCCAGGCGCCAGTAACGACGACGACGACACTGGAAGCTAAGGAGAGCTAGCGCGGCTTGAAATCTTAGTCATCTGGGTTGGAGCTTCATTCACGTGATCAGCCTACGTCAAAAGAGCGAGAGCAGTTGGGGTCCAGGCTCGATAACTTTGATTGGCTCAAGGTTTTCTCTCACAGGCAGGGCGAAGTGGGGTCGCAAGCGTGCAGCAGCTGCAAGGCTTCAAGGCTCCAACGACCCCAGTGCGAGCTTGAATGGATCAGATTGGCCGATTATCGGGGGGATCTGCCTCCACATCAAGACCAAAGACGTGGGGACCCTGAAGGGGACGTTTCTAGCCTGGTACATGAGAGCTACAGTGGATTGAGTGCCTCTGTACTTTTGGCACTTGACCCTTCTGAGGCTGTATAAGCTGCCATGGGGGAATGTCTTATTAGTGGCGTTGAACTGATTCAGTCTAATGTTGAAAGATGGCGGGTTTTGCGGTGAGAATAGACTCATGACCCTGTCGATAAGCCTGCCCCGCGATGTTCGGTGAGCAGCCTGAGAGGAGGTTAGGTGAACCGTGAAATTGTTCATACAGTATTTACAGTATAGAGTATTATTATTGGTAATTGTTAGGGAGGAGCCTCTCGCTTGTTTATACAGTACATGTATCTTTATGGATCGTCTAATGTAAAGTCAAGTACCCGGTTGGATTGTGGCTTATCAGCGTCGGATCACTCGCCTGTTCACGGGATGATGCGGCGGTGATTCACTGGTCGGCGGCCGAGGAGCAAGGTCCTTAAGGTAATCGACAAGTCACCTCACTCACTGACTGTACCTCTTTGACACCACCTTCTACCTTCTGACTTGTTCAACCTCCAACCAACTCGACCTCTTTGTCTTTTTTTGCTCTCTTTCCGATCGCCTTTCTCGCCCAAGCCAACCTCACGTCTCTTTATCACTTTAATCTATCACTTTACTGCTCGGCGTGTCTTTGTTGCGTCATTCTACTGATACTGCTGCCATCTCCTCCCCAAACGCCGTCATCTTTCCTCCCTCTGTAGCCGTTTTCGACTCGGCCAACCGCTCGTCACACACACACACACATACAATACCCCTCCTTTCATCTTGGGTTGCTTGTTTGTCTGTCTAGATACTCTAAGCAACCTCAACATCGCACATACAATGTCGTCCTCTATCGCCATTCCCGCTGGCCCCTCGGCTACCCGCCCATTCCATAAGGGCACCGGCTCTTCTCCAAACAGCCCGTTTGGTACTCCTTCGTCTTCTCCTCCGTCAGCCGGAAAGGACAAGGCCCTGCACAACCGCCGTCCGAGCCTCCTGAGTAAGTGAAGCTGGATCATCCCCCGCCCCAGACGATTGCAGCGACAATGATACGATCGTCTTATCATGCACCGACAGCCGTTTACTGACTTGACTTTGTAGGCTCTTCACTCTCCAAGCAAGAATGCACCGTCATTAACGTCGGCGATCCGGAAGGCACTCCCCGACTGGTAAGTGTCTCGACAATATTATAGTTGGTTTCAGGTGTACTGACTTTCCATAGATCTCCTACCTCTCCTCCAGCCAGGGTTTCGCCTGGAATCCCGGTATGTTTCACTTGTATCATGAATAACCTCTCCACGAGTCACGACTAACGGCTGGTAGAAATCTTTCTCCCATCTTATATCGACTGCGACTATGTTCCCCTCGAGAACCGCCGGGACCCGGTCCACGAGATCATTCTGACCGACGACGAGTCCAAGAACCTGCTACCTCACTGAACCGCCTGACATTATATCGTATACACAGACCAGGCCATGATAGACATTTCCTTCTCACGAGATTCCCGATTCAACGACAGGCCTGCTATTACTCAACTATTGATTTTACGGCGTTACGATTCCCGCGGCTTTTTTTTTCTTTACTTTACCTTGCTTGCCTTTCCTTTCAGTCAGGCAAGACATGACACTTGTTTTAGGCCTGTCGACGCATGGGCATTGTTCGGTGGAGTATGATTTCGGGACAGGGTCCCTGGTCAATCGGCTTGACAGCCTCACTTTTAGCTTTGGCGGAGTAGACAAGACATGGCAAAGCATCCATCACCTCAGCGTCCGGCACATTCGGTATCGATCTTGGGAATTGGATTGGGGAGAACGCCTGGATTCGCGGGCTAAAAGGAAGAGGTTGTTTTCACTTCTTGGGGGTCTTGAGACCAAACTGTTTCATTCTTTTTCCTCACTAATTCTGCGGCTGGACTGTTTTGTTCTTGAGGGATGGTGGCGTTGAGGCACGGTAGGGCGGTGTTTCTTTGTTTGTTTGTAACTCTCCTCAATTCACATGACTTAACTTGATCATCGCTCAAATGACACCTGCGATGTTGATCGCGTCCCCGCTGGCGCCAATCACCGACGACCGATATGAGCTGGGCCCCTACCGAACCCGCCCGGACCGGAATTAACTGTACGGGGCCGGTCGGGGGAACCTTGATGTCATTCAAGGCCAGTCCAAGAAGCAAGTTCCGTCTTGGGTAGACTATTGGTGGTCGACGTCAGATTGACAGAGATCAAGTCTCTCATCATTCTCGCACGGAGTATGTTGGATTGCATAACGCTATGGATCTTTGTCAAAACGGTTTGAGGGCACGACCACGAGTCTATGACCGATTCCCGACAACGATTAACTTTGTTTCCATACCGGCCAGTTCCCGGTGTCTGACTCAACCAAGATCCATCGCCAAGAGCGCCATGGTGCAAACATTACCATCACAGCACTTTCGCATCTTGGGCAGCGATTTTATGTCTCAATCTATAATGAGGCCTGCAATTCCGGGTGGCCTCGTTCTTTAGGGTCCACCTTTTACACCACAGTCGGTGAGATCTCAATAACGATGACTGAGAACACATCTGGATGTCATGATGAGCACGGTTTGCGAGTCTATCAAACACATACGACCATAGCTCGTAGAAAATACGGGATCCCGTCCGCTCTCCCATAGTCAAGTTGCGAAGCGCTGGATTAGTAGTTGGGTCGGTGACGACCAGCGAATCCCCGGTGTTGTATGTTTTTTGTTGTTTTTGATGCTTGTCTGGGACTGATCATTGTCTTTTTGACGGCGGTTAGACCGCTAGATGCAATGCTATAGATTCAACGGCAGAGTAATATGGGCTTGTGACATTTGACCGTAAGGTGTTGTTCAATGGTCTTGCTTCTTGAATAAGGTTGTTTGTGTGCCTGATTCTGATTCCGGTCCGAACCGTTTCACAGAGTCGGCGCCGATGGTGGGGCTCCGGTACCGTTTTCCCGGTCCATCGGCCGGGGCTCCCAAAAGAGGCCGTGGATTTCCCCTGAGCGTCTAGTGAGACATACTCCCTTGCAAATACACGGACTCCCTGTAATGCAAACTCAAATATGATGAATGATCAAATCTCAGCTTTAGGATGGTCGCTTTGACTGTCGAGGCGTCAAGATATCGGCGATACCTTTCCAATGCCTTCCCAGATCCTGAGCTGGACGGCGCTCGTATTAAGAACTTCCACGGGGCCATACATGTTAGTCCGTACCTCGTGTTTCTCGACACTGTCTGCAATCTTTTCACCACCCTCTTCAAGTACCGTACACTCCCTCGTCTGCATTAACTCACTGTAGTATGATTCCAAAAAAGCGTCATCCTCCACATCGACATCTTTCTCCCTCCCTCGCCTCTCCTGATCCTCACGATAGAACGGGTTGGCAGCGAACTCACTGGCGACCTTCCATAGGTGCCAGCTCGGCTCTGGGTCAAGGCTCTTGTAGACATTCTCGTAATCGCAGACAATCGCTGCCGCCGCGCACTGCCTCTTCATCTCAGGCACCTTCATGGCAAGAAGACCAAGCATATCTGGCTGCGGTTGTAGGGGCCACCAGATGATGTAGGGCTTCGGGACTCCTGGTGGCCAGCCTTCTTCAAATGCGGAAGCGTCGTTGAGCATGATTCGACGTGCCATTATGGCTCGCTGAACATCCCACACGTATGGGGAAGACCTAGCATAGATGGTGTCGTTCTTGATCTGGTCCGCCCACCAGCGAGCATACATAGTGTGATGTAAGATACCACGGATGACGCAATCTTGGTCTAGTTGCGTTAATGTCCTCCCAGAGTTGGCGAGCTGGGCATAGCGTTCAATGTTGCCGTCGTGGGCGGCCATCTGTGTCAACAAAGTCTTTTTCACTGTCGGCAGATCGCGAGGCAGAGGGTTATAGAGCAGCTTCGCCTCGTCGTCGGCCAGGGTACCATGCCTTTCATCTACTTCCTGGTCCTCTAGGCCAAGATGCATGTCCTCTTCGATGCATGGAAGGAGATCGTCGGTGAAGTGGCGTGTAATGCCTTGTCGAGCTGTCAAGCGCCATCGCACTTCGGTATTACCGTTCAGATACGCCGGGCATACATAGTCCATCAGTTTAACGGTGCGTTTGCAGTCGTCCATGATGGCATAGCGATACTTGAAACTCATGATCTCGTCATAGATGAGTTTCCCGCCATCTGTCTCGCTTTCTCGCGCCTCTTCAGCGATGGACACCTCAGGCAGGAGATCAAGCTCCTGGTAGAGGGCGTGGTAACCTGCTGCAGCACACGCACGGCCAACCTGATAGCGCATGTCGGGGAATCTAGAGGCTAGTGAGCGGTAGGTGTCCTCGGTGGCCATGTCGGGATGCCATATACAGTATGGCTGCTCCTCTGCTGTCATCCGCTCCGGTATGTCGTTGCTCATGATGCGGCGAGCGTTGCGGGCTCGAGCGACCAGAGGCATTGAAGAGCTGAGGCGTTTGACGGGTTCACTCATGGCCAAGTGGTAGTGCAGACGAACGCCTCGGATAAGGGCTGCGCGACTATCACGGTCTTCAAGGAGCCTCGGCACTCCATCGCCACGTATGGCCTTTTCCTGATCCTGTCGAAGTTCTAGGCGGGCCACCATTTTTATTTATATACATTTGCTGAAGAGCAGATGATGAGGCAAAACTTCAGGATTTGGGTCGCTGGTTCGTCAACTGAAGGAATGACATGCGGAGGGATAAATATTCTTGCCAAGGACGACAAGAATATATATCCCTGTCTTCTTCTTCACAGCCCTCAGCTCCATCGATCCACAATAGTTCCAGATATGACCTGGCCTCAGAGAGCAAGAAAACATCAGATCTTGATACGGGCTTCCAAAATAAAACTACAGGAGCCTCTAAGCTTAGGCTAGATTTACCTAAATAATTTATCGCTTAGGGTCAAGGTCCTGAGTCCCCGTTCCCCCTAGCCTGGTAGCTGTGATTCGAGCCACAAGACGTATGACGAGACAAGACATGTAAGTAAATGTACTAATAGGCTTTCAATGTAGCTTATGATAGGTTCCAGTTGAACATGAACTCCTTTGAGCACTGCTGCCACGATCCGTGCGTCAGGGGGGGAGATGTTGATGCTGATGCACATGAGCGTTGTGTTGTATGAGCAGTGGAATAGGTGTGTGGTACTACAAGCTCAAGGCCGACCTATGGTAACATCCAATCCCCGTATCAAGGAGTCTTCACCTCGTCAACATCTTTGTGTTCTTGTAACAAACTCAATTGAACCCAACTGGGGCAGCCACCCACGTCCCAAGCATCGACCCGAAGCTCATAAGTCACGAGGTTCTCATGAGAAGTTGGCATTTTCCGGAGAACAGCTGAAAACACAGTCTCTGGAACTCTGGAAGATCGTTTTACAGCACGGTCTGTATGTGCAACAAAGGATTTCTTGTACTGCGCACAGGCCCGGAAGAGAGCATTCTTGCGAGACTCATCGATGTCGCTGTTTGACTGCGAAAGCTCTCGGATAGTGCATGAAGCATCGTCGGCTGATATCATGATGTCAATCCGAAATAGTGAGAATTGAGAGCCATGTGAGCAGGTGACCCAGAGAGCCTTGAATGGGGACTCATGTATTGGAGTTTGTCGCTTCATCCAGTCATCACTTGGATAAGACAAGACAATTTCGAGCGAGCGTGTAGTTGTTGACGAGACTTGTGTCAAGATCTGCAATTGCTTTGACGAAAGCATTGAAGACGGTGGTTTCATACCAAAGTTATTTGAGCCTGTGGAATAGCCACTGGGTCGAATGAAGAGTTCCATAGGTCTAAAGTACGGGAGCAGTGTCTTGGGCACGCCGACAAGTGAAGACGATTTAACTCTGCAATAAACCCGCCTTCGCGCCGACTCATAGTCACGTTCTATGAGGACGCATACAAGACTGTCCTCTGTCTCGTATGATAGCCATGCAATGCGAGCCAGGTCGAGATCTGTCGGGAACAGAACATGCAGATTGATACGTAAACCGCGACTTGTGAACTCGAGAGGATTCGAGAGTACCGACTGCATTGCAACGATGCTACGTTGACCGCGAAACATGCGACCGTAATCCTTCTCGTGCAGGACTCGATATTCGATGCTCTGTTTCTCCAAATCAAGCTCGGGTTCAGAAGGGGGAGGAAATGCATGGCCATGGTCGATCATCTTCTGGTCCTGCGTGTCCTTTGAAGCTTGAGCATGTAGAGAACTCTTGGAGAATTGCGAGGGTGACCAAGCCAGAAACCCAGTAGAAGAGGTTTCGGAATCGGCAATTTGGTTATCTTGCTGGAGAGTCCATGCAAACATGCTATAGTCTTCTTCTTGTCGGAGAATCTGCTCCTGAAGTCGGATAAACGACTTGGCTCCTTCGCCATAGAGAAGGGGCATGTTGACATCGAATAGACCCAGCAAGCAGTAGGCCATATCTTCCTCTCTGGTTGTGGTTCGAGCCGATGCCCACGACATTCGCTCAGCGACATTGTATGATGAAGGATGCGAACCACGTAATACAGTGATTGGGATGCCAGTGGCACTTTCTATACTTGAAGCGAGACTCTTTTTTGTGCCGATCACGGTCCATTCTTTAGAACAGAGCTCGACGACTTGAGGCGCAATCAGTTCCTGAAGTGTCCAACCTCTTGTGAACCACCTGCTTCTGCCGAACTCTGTGATATGAAAGATGCTGGTGCTGGTACAAGCTTCTGTGGTGACATCCTGTAAATAAGCATAACAGACGGTCGCTTTCTGGTACCACTTGTACATGGAATTAATCGCCTCGGATAGCTCAGCGCTGCTGGACTTGTCGATACAGCAAGTGTCAATCCACACCCATTCGAAGCCATCTTCAGCTGCCTTACTGCAACAACCAACGAGTTTAGAATAGCCTTCTTTTGATTGAGCGGTCAGGGCGCCAATATCACTGTAGAGAACTTCATCTTCGGACCATGTGTGACTGAGAATTGCGTAGGGAGGGACTTGTCCGATGAATTCTTTCAGCTGAAGAGTTGAGACATTTAATAGACGCATTGTAATAATTGAGAGAGTAATGCGTTGATTGTTCGGAAACTTGAGCTGTTTGAGAGTTTAGAACGGTATAATCACGTCGGCAGACAAGTAGGAGACTGTTCCGTGTAATTGTTCCATCAATTGTCGTTGCTTAATTGAGCTGTGCCGAGACATGGCTGAGGAGTAGCTCGACGACGGCCGCGACAGACCCAACGACAATTGGTCAATTTTGGGTCAGGCTGCGATACTGCTTATTTAGATCGATATGGATCACACGAGGTTATCACTATGGAACAATAGAAGGCAAAGTGTGTAGCTCAGATGAACTGTATAGTATTAAGGTCTATGCACCTCTATCAAGAGATCTATGTGCAAGTTGTAGAAATGAATTATATACCTAACGCTTCCATCCTTAGTTCATCATGTGTGAAATTAATCATTAAAGACCAATGCTTTTCCCTTGTCGTCCAAACTCATTACGAGATATAACCATGACATGTAGAGCAGAGGTTCTGAGTTGCTTAGAAGAGAGCAATGGCACCGAGGACGGCGAGAAGGCCGGCGGGGGCAATGCGGCCGGCAGCAGCGGTGACGACGGCAGGGTTGGTACCCTCGGGGACGGGGTAGGTAGCGGTGCCAGTAGGGACGGGGACGGGAGCAGCGGTGGTAGGCTTGCCGGGGACAGCGGGAGCAGTGTAGCCGGGCTTACCGGGCTTGCCGGGGGTGGGCTGAGGGTAAGGGTGCTCGGAAGCAGGGTGGGTGGTGGTGAAGTGGCAGTCGGTGACGGTGACGGTGCCGGGAGCGGTGACAGTGACGGTCTTGTTGCCGTAGGTCAGAGTGGTGGGCTCAGGGCAGTAGGTAGTCACGGCGGTGATGACCTCAGTGGTGTAGACGGGGTGAGGGACAACGGGCTTGGTGGGCTTGACGGGGTAGCTGACTGTGCAAGGGCAGTCGGTGATGGTCAAGGTGGTCTCAGAGGTGACGGTGTAGGTCTTGTCACCGTAGGTGAGAGTGGTAGCACCAGGGCAGTAGGTTGTGATGGCGGTGACAACCTCAGTGGTGTAGTGAGTGGTGCCGTTGGAGGGAGGGGCGTAGTAGGGAGAAGCGGTGGCAGCTCCGATGAGGAGGCCAGCAGCAGCAACCTTGATAGCAACCATTTTGAAGGATTTGGGGAGGTTTTCGATTAAGTTCTGACTTGTTAAAACGAGTGAAGTGCAGAAAAGCAAGATTGAGCTTTGAGCGAGAGTGTAACGACTGAAGCGAGTGTAGTTGTTGAGAGGAGGAAGAAGTGAGTGAAAAGGTGGAAGAGAGTGAGGGTATTTATCTCTGAGTTCAACACCAAGACAAAAGCTGAGCTGAACTGAACTAACCGACCAGACTGGGCTGATAGATACGCAAACCCAGGTCCCAGAGACACACACAAACTCAAAAGGCGTCTAGTTTAGCCTGGCCTAACCACATTCTGAAAGTCCATTTAACCTTGTACGGACTGTACACACATCGAGATGGGCCCACGCTCACGGCCTCACGCTAGACGAGGCAATTTTCTACCTCTCTCTACCCTCTTTTTACCGCTCCGAGGCGTAGCTCGTCCAATCATGATATCATTGAAGCCATCTCACTTTCTTACTCATACTGTACCTTGCACTAGCCAGACTCGTTGGGCTGAGGAGGTGCAGTGAGTGCAGTGCAGGGTACAGGGGCCCTTGTCTTGGAATACGAGGTCAGGGGAGGGATTTTATGACAGATTCGGATCTTGTGAGAAACCTCATGATAAGGAAATGTCCGGGGTAGGCAGAAGTGATTGGTCTGGCTGTGGGTTGAGTGTGTGCTGTTGCAATGCAAGGTCTCTTTGTTGTTGTGATGGACAGACAGTTGTCACAGTTGCAGCGACTCTATCTATCGGTAGGGCAAACTCTATACTCATCGGTTGCAACGTTGGCAGTTGTAACAGCACATCACAGCGCATCACAGCTATCAACCGTTGTCTGTTCAGTGGATGATCCGATTTAGAGGGGCCGAGTTAGCCGGGCTTGTTAGCAGTCTTGGGTGAGCTGGGTACCTGCGCTAGTACCCACATAGCACCTAGCTCCGTAGTCCGGGGAACTTTGTTTACTCACTTTTTAGTCACTCAAATCTCCTCTTTTTTCTCCTCCTCCTCCTCTAAGAAAAAAGCCTGTTTTTGTTTTTCCCTCTCTCACGTTTTTCATCTCCAATCACCAACAACGGCCCCTGCAGTCAGCATCAGGCTAATGCGGCGTGCTGCAGCCTCTATCACACACTGACCCAGGTGCCCCAATCACAAGAGGTGGTCATCTTTTAGCGTGCGTTGATTTGTCCCTTTTTGCTGTTCCTTGGTTTTTAGTCTCGAGAGCGGAAAAAAAGTCTTATCTCATCAAGTTTTTTAAGCTTCAACCAATTAAGACACCAAAATAGATGAGCCCCTGTCTAGTAACAACTCGAACCCCCTGCCCCTTGCATTGCATTTTACCAGAGCAAATCATGCCCCCAGACCAGAGTCAGCAAAATCAGTTCATCCGTTGTTGGATGTGCCGTTCGTAAGAGGAAATTGCACACAATGCTTGGCTTGACAGTTTTCGTACGGCACGGCCACGGGCGGCGGTTCCGTTCCCCCTTGCGTCGATGGATCATGGTCTGTCTCTAGATGAATGGCATTGTAAGCTTGTCTTAGACACTCAAGGTAATCTCCTATGCACACTTGGTCAGCTTTAATTAAAAGAGATCGCGCTGTGGCTTGTCGCGGAAGCCGAAGACATCTCAACGCATCCGATCTAATTAAAGCTGACCCGAGACTCTCACCCTCGCCCGCGCCCTCAATCTCTGCAAGGCTGCCATGGGATTTGCACCCCTACATTCCTTATCACAAACATGGTCAAGGACGGAATAGGATCAGATCATCCTGGTTGTAAATCCCCTCGCTCGCTTGCAATCAGCTCCAGTTCACATGCTCAGATGCTCCATCGAAGACGTCAGCCAAAAAGTCAGCATCGCTTGACTCATGCCAAAGTCCCCAAAAATATCCCCCATACGCGAAATTACCATCAAGCCACCCTCATCTTGGCCCGTCAGCCTCTCCTTTGCAGCAATACGTAGTATTTTTCCAAAGATCCAACGTTTCATGGCGGGTTTCATAGCGACATCTCACAAAAGTGGCTGAGACTTGTCTAATAGATACTAATAATTGGCTGAAACAACGGGTGAGGAAGACATGGACTCCCTACAGAGTAGACTCCCTCCTATTGTCTGGTTTGCCACTTGTTCCAGCCTCAAATCACCTGTCTCACTCGACTTCTGGTCTATTGGGTTGTCCAGTCAATAGGGAAGCGGGTGGCGCCGTCAAAGGTAGAGACCATTGTTTGGTCTAGTCTAGGCCGTGTCCTGCTAATCTGAGCACTTTGCACGGGCTGTTCGAGACTGAGATGATGATTCATTGCTTCTTTCCATGATATTGGATGAAATATGAATATTGATGCAAATGCACAAATCATAAGTGACACATCCTACTTCATTTTTTGACACAATGTATCTGAGGTCTCTCTTATCAATACACTTTGAACTGCTTCGTGAGCTACTGACCGTTTCGATGCAAAGGAATGCGGTTATCTAGCCGCAGCCGCCCTTGAAGGAGGTTTGTCTAAAAACATGCTTAAACGGCTGACTAGAAGACGCTACTCGCCGTCCAAGAAGTTCATCGGAATGATCATCGTGACCAGCATAAAGCTACATTGCTCTAGCTCTTCACAGGAAGGCTGTCTTGTCATGTGATGCATTTATGCTTTTGTAGTCTATCCCTTGTAACACCTACATTCTTGTAGGGTAGGTAGTCTCATCATATCTGTGGGCTACTATTGCAGTATTACTCACAATGATTCCTATCTCGAGGCAGTCTGGGAGTATCCCGTGGCCTGCAATTGAATGTTCGCCCATCCAATTGTAGTCAGGCCATATTTGACTCCATACAAACTCATTCCAACCATGGACCGCGTGGATCTGTGAACTCTATCAAACTCAAAGTATAGACATGCTATGCCTGGTAGCTAGAGCATTTGCCCCAATCACATTTAACACAGAATGAAGAAGCCAAGCATTCTGACTATCAGCTGGACCTACAAACCTGATAGCAGTATTAGAAATTACGCAGCTTCTAAGCTGATATAGTTATTGTAGCTACAGCCATGGTGAGATGCATATCTGCAGGGCACCATTATCTACGTGAGCTTGAGCTGATAGGTTCTAAAGCAAGGTCCCGTTTGCCTCTGAGTACCTATTACTCTGTACCTACCTTATGTAAGGTATGGTAGAAATCACCTGGGATAGAACCTAACACTGGCTGACACGGCAGGAAGCCTTCAACAGAGTTTCACAAGGCGCCTTCTGCCTAAACCACAAACTTGGAAGTTAAAATTCATAGACTCTAGATAAAATGTTTTGCCAGCCTCTGTACCCACAGAGATTCTTCCTCTTTCATCCTTCTTTTAACTGTTGAGGGGAATCGTCAACCACCGCTCATCCACGATGCCTTCTTCCAAGAAGAAGCTCTCGTTCTCGCTCACGCGACTAAAGGTCAAAAAGATATTCCGGTCCATCAAGAGTCCATTCCGAAAGGACGAACGCGTCAGAGACGAACCTGCTACAACTCCTGTGGTAAACCAAAATGTTCGAGATGTTGTTCGTGAGGACTCTGAGGAGCTAGATGTCGACAAAAAGACAGCCATTCACCGTCGAGAACAAACGCCACCCGCCAGCAGTGATGATAACTCTTGCACATTGCTGTCTGACAAAGAGTCTGATAGCTCTTCCGGGTCCGAGATTTATTTCGATGCCCAAGAAACCATTCTTGACTCTAGCAATCAGGAGGAGACTGCGGTTCATGATGATGAAACCGAACCCGTGAGCAGCATAATCGCTCAACACCATCAAGCCAACATCCCTGGCAGAGAAGAGGAAAAAGACGTACATTGCACTATCATCCACGGTATTTCCCCCATGCTAATTGCCTGCAGATGACCAAAAACGACACGGGGCTCGACCAACAGCAGCAGCAGGACGCTCACCTGACTCTGCAAAAGCTCGCCCCAGAATTGATAATCGAGATCATGCTTCTTCTTCCACACAGCAGCCTTTATCTTCTCCAACAGACATGTCAAAAGTTTCGCCAGCTCTCAAAGCGAGACACTTTCAAGACATTCAACCTCGAGTTTCGAGACGGACCTGAGAGCTATTGTATCAGCGAGAATGGCTACCAACAACGAAAGGTCATTCGAGACATCCTTGCTCGCAGCACTCTCTGTCAAGAATGTAACGCCCACCGCGATTCGGGCAAGTTGCTAGAAGTGATGCACAAGCTCTACGAGCTGCAACACTGTCACGGATGTAAAGCCAGTCATCCTGCGCTGTTCTTCTCTCCCGAGGAGAAAGGGAAACAATACACGCAGTGCTTGGGTCGAATCGGAACTTTTCCGCTCTGCTCGCATGAGTCTTTTGCAGGCCCCGATATGGTCACTCTTTCCAATGCCGGTGGAAAGGAAAGATCGATAGCGTGCGAGGATTCGAGCCATAAAATATCCCCTGACTCCTTCTACGAGACAAAATACGCGCCCAGAGGTTTCCTCGACATCGGGTTAGCTTTGGATAGTGGGCCAATGAAGCACTACTTGTATTTCATACTCGAAACAACTATTCACCTCGTCGTTCTTGATGGATGCTCAGACATATGTACGGAAGAAGCTATTCGGCAGCTAAAAAATGGTCAATACACCGTGGGCGACGCAAAAGCTCTATGCAAGCATTTCTCTAGCGAGATCCTCGAAGAGTGTGTGGCCTCCGATCCATCCAAGTGTTCATGCTTCCCACGATCAGAGACAGGACTTCAAAAACGCACGCTCGTTTGCAATGTTCCCAACGCAATCTGCCAGATTTGCGGCGCAGAGTATCATCTAAGTCTGAGGCAAGACAGAACCATAAGATCGGCGGAAACAAAGCCTCGCGGAAAAACAATCATAGACCTGGAGATCAAAAGACATATTCGCCTGAGAACCTTCCTCCACCCCTTGTGGCTTTTCAATCTCAACTACAACCAGGATAAGGATTGCGACTCACGGCTCAAACGAAACCCTCTACTGGACGAAGAAATGAAACACATGCTCTGGTGCGACAATTCTTGTTGCGCGACAGGGTCTGGCCGCCGATGGGAGAAAATGGCACTGCTGTATTTGAACGATGCTTTCAACATGGGGGCACTGCAAGATGGTAACTACGGCGATGACGCTCGGGCTAGAGATACGGCTTGGCTGTCGCTTGAGTACGATGTATTTAACGGCTTGACAGCCTGATCGACATCTAAATCTCGAAGGCATTGAAATGAGAAGAGAAAGAAATGAAGAAAGAGAGAAGGAAAAAAACACCGAAGAGAAAAAGGAACACACACAAGCCCCCAGCACTATCGTCGAAGAAAGGAAGAAAGACCCCCTTGGAATCCAACACACACAGAGAACACCATACACGATATCCCGATTTGATACACCTTATGCCCTTCCTGTGCTTGAGCACCTAGACACTTGTGACAGCCATAGACTGAAATCTGGCTGACTATTGTTACAATGAGGATGGCGATGGCTAGGATACCCCCAAAAAGCTTCAGACAGATAGCTAGTTGAAGATAGAATGAGAAATCTAAGCAACAAAAGTTGGTGCATGATCCAGTCACATGTGGGAAGAGAAGAGTTTACTTTGCCGGTTTGCTAGATATTGAAAGTTACGTAGGCTTCACAAGGTTTGTTTGATATGCAAAAACCTACAATTACTTTTTCAGTCTGATTTCATTAACGGGAGGAAATATGGCTCAGGAGAGTTCCTCGCTTTTTCTTTGTGTCGGGGACAAATCTAAACTCCGACCCATATCATGAGCTGTATGTACGCCGTAGGGCGCGGTCAACCTCGTGAGATAATAGTCTCCCCGCATCATCCAAGCTTTGATTTCTAATACACCCAAAAAATCAGAATCTCACCAAGTGAGCGAACAGTAACCTCGTTCCAGTCACAAAAACAGTCATGGCCCCTCAGATCGAAGCTGTTTCTACCAAATCTGCTCCGGCTCCGCTGCCGCAGTTCTCACAGGCTGTTAAGCACAATGGCATGGTGTACTGCTCCGGAAACGTCGGAGCCATTCCTGGGACGAACTTTGAACTGGTAGAGGGAACAGTTAAAGATAGAGCGGTAGGTCTCTGGACAGTCAGATCTTGCAATGTGTGATGGCTGACTATACGACTACAGCGACAAGCTATCAAGAACTTGGAAGCTATCCTCAAAGAGTCTGGTAGTAGCCTGAGGAATATCGTCAAGATGAATATCTACATCACAAACATGCAAAACTTTGCTCTTGTGAACGAAGCATACGATGAGTTCTTCACTTGGGAACCCAAGCCGGTATGTCAAGTTCCAAGGATAATTCAACCCGACCACTAATGTCTTCCAGGCTAGAACTTGTGTAGCGGTCTTTCAGCTGCCCTTGGGAACCGATGTTGAGATTGAGTGCACTGCAGCCCTCGACTAGAAGAAACTTAGATTTATAGGAACGAAACTCTAGATAAATGCACTAGAATCAAACATTTTCTCTACTGTTGCCTGATGTGATCACCTCCAACCTTTTCAACAACTCAACGTCCCACATAGATGCTCTTGCCCTTGCCTTGCATCACTTCATCCACGTAGTCCACGTACTTGATCGGCTCAAAGTCAGGATAAAGGTCCTTGGAGCTAAGATAGCCAAGATACTCGGCTGGCCCGGGAAGATTGTCCTGACGGAACCACTCGCAGTAGAGATACTGAGGACCAGCGAGTCCAAAGATGAAGGGAAGACTCTTGTCACTCGCATCGTACTTGACCTGGGCGTCTGCGATGGTTGCTTCGATATCCTTGGCAGGCATCTACTCATGTTAATCATCACATTTCAAATCTGCGAATGGAAGAAAGACTTACCAAGTTGCGTGGAATCTTCTCGCCGCTGACCTTCTCCAAGTGAGTGTGAATCTCCTCCTGAGTCCAGACTTCGTTGTAAGCAAAGACATATTTGTTCAGGGTTCGCTCATCAGTAATGATCTTGGCAACGTAATGTCCAATGTCTCTCAGGTCCGTCAAGCTTGTGGCATGTGAGCCATCCTCAGCGACGACAGCGGCTGGGAATTTGAGGGCATAGTCAATCTTTCCAGAAGGGAGGGATGGGAGAGAGACTTGATACCACATGCCAACATCAACTACAGTGTAGGGAAGATAGATTTTCTTGACGTGGTTGATGATAGTCTCTTTCTGCAAACTCGTTAGTAAGATTGACTATAAGCTTGCTCTGCCACTTACAAGCTCCCTAAGAAGCATAACACCCTCAGGAGGACAGGGCGGGCCAAAAGCACTCGGGAGGAATCGTTTGATTCCAGCCTCTTTGGAAGCATTTGCCAAAGCAATTTCAGGACCAGTAGTGAAAGGCACAAGACAGCTGATGACTACATCTTGACCAGTGAGGGCCTTGACGAGTTCGTCGTGGTTGTTTTCAAGGTTGATTGGGACAACGGAAACGCCCTTGTTCTTGATCTGTTGGATCTCGGGTTTGTTGATGGAAGCAGGTCGCACAATTGCGGTCAATTTCTGTAAAGATGAGTATAAGATCTTGATGATTGTGGTTTGCAACTTACAAACTCGCTTGGAGAAGGCGAGAGAGCATCGATGATGGACAAACCGGCCTCGCCATTTGCGCCGACAATTGTAACGTTCAGACTCATGATGGATATGTATGATAGAGATAGAGTAATTGTATTGATTGTTGTGATTGAAGTAAGATGAGACTGTGATGATTAAAAATTGAGTCATGTCTTGATGCTATATATATTCATCTTGAAAGAGAAGGAGAAGAGCCTCCTCCGTGGTTTCATTACAAATTTGTTGATCCATTGCAAAGCATGTCATGTTGAGGCTTTGTAAGTCATCGTCGGATCTTGCTCCGCCGAAATGTCGGCGGTGGGCCCCACTTCCAGTGACTAATGAATGCTAACAGACCTTGCATATGGATACCCCTAAATCTGTTAAGAGCTGTTAGGCACAAATTACCATTGATAAATCCATCAGGATATTCGCCACAGGCCTAAGGAAGGTGAGGCAAAGAATTTTCCATGTTTGAAAAGCCGTGATATAAAAAAGCATGCTCACTTACTACTGTTTATAATAGTGCGAGAACTTGGAGATCCAACAACTACGTGGATGATGCTTGTCTTGTTGCAGAGGGACCTTGTGTTTTCAAGCAATGAAACAAGCAAAGAGAAAGTGAACAACAGTTAGCAATCTGTCGTAAAACAAGACAAAAATTGCTATAAAGTAGTTTGAACTCACATTGCGTAATCTTGTTGAAGAACTATATAAATGGCAGTATTTCCAAGTCAGATCGTCGCTCAACGCCATCTTGCATCTCGACTAACAGCAGTTATAGTCACTTTGATAACCTCACAACTCAATCTCAACCAAAACTCAACATGCCATCATCCGAAGACCGACAGAGCCAACTGACAGTTGGCGAATTGAAAGAACTGATCGAGAGTATGTCCCAATATAATGACAAGAGAAACACACATTCACTAACAGAACAGTGAACATCAAGGCTCTCTGTCTCTCCGACAAAGTCAGGCTGTTCCTGGTTAAGCGTGTTGCGGAGCATTCAGGTCAGATTCTTTATGGAGCTGGCGTTGCTTCGTATTGGAGCACCAAGTGCACCGATATCCTTTTCCGAAGCAGCGGCGAAAGATTCACAATTAAAAGTGCGCTGGAGGATATCCTGGACCAGACGATGGCCGAGCTGAGTGAAAAAGCTCTCTTTCCAAAATGGTGTATCAAAGACTTGAATGGTATGTACGGCATAATCACGAAACATAGACCAAAGAAAACCAGCTAACCTTGTATTCCTTCTGTAGTCTTCAAATAGTTATTGAACGTGATGGATTAGATTAGTTGCTGAGAGGAGAATATCGAGTGACTGGATGTAGTACGATGAGTATTGCCGGGCATGAAATAGAATCTAAATACAGCCACATCTTGACTCGAATCTTTTCCAAGTTGCAATAAATAATTCTTTCATGTTATGACGCCTTAGTTTCTCTTTGCTTTTGCATAATTAGGCGGAATGCATGAGTTCGATGATTGCTGGCCAAGAGTGTTGAGTTTAGGCGGAAGCAAAACAAACGATTCCCTGTGTTCAAGGAGGTAAATGTTTTCGGAACAAATTAACGCGTTTGGCTGCCTTGGAGCCAATCAGACATGAGATGCCAAAGGTAAACAAAACATAATTCATTCTTTTTGGGTTTGCTGTGAGCAATCTGGGATGTTGCATACAATATTCCCGGATATGCATCCAGGTTACCGAGAGAAAGCCATAGAAGAAGTTGTGCCATTAGACGACTAAAACAAAGGATTGTGTTTGCCAGTGATTTTGTAGGCAAACGGTCGGCTGGAGCAAAGACAATTGTCCCATAGTGTAGGATAGATAATTGGCCAAGCTACTCCAGATGGAAGCTCAGAGAAAGGTAGATGAGAGGACAATCAAATCCGAGAAACATATATAAAGCTGTAAATTTTCCTTCCGAGATGGCCTCTCCAAAGTCAACTTTCTCTGATATTCACCAGCATTGTCAGACTATCCCCAAGTCCTTGCCCATTCCGATATATCAAGTCATCTCACGTCTTCTGATTGACAATCTTCACTCTTCGACATCCAAAATGGTATCTCAAACCGGCCAAGTCGAGCGAGCTGTACGCTTGAAGGAGCTCATCCAAAGTAAGTTTAATCTCATGACCAGCAAGTTCATGCGTAGCTGACCTGCCAGTGAACGTCGCTGCCCTCTACGCCAGCATGTCTGTAACAAAACTTTTCGTTTGTAAGCGTAACGAGCTGTATGTTGCCGGCGTAGCCACTCCCCACACTTGCGGGCATGGGAGTGTCTTGTTGAAGAGCATTGAGCGTACGACCGTCGAAGGTGCTCTAGAGTCACTTTTGGAGGAGACAGCGAAGGAATTGACCACGGAGATGAACTTTTGATGGCATCGATGGAGCTTGGATGGGAGTGATTTGGACAGGACGGAGGGAATGTGGCTGCTGTGTTGGGGGGTTGGATAACTACTCGCTCAAGCACGTATGGAATGATAGATACGCCTCCTCGACAGACGTTTGTATGTGTCTGAGCTATTGAGAGCACACAGATACCACCGTCTCTCGGTATCAAGCAACAGAATAGACTGTATCAAGCCCCTCATTTGCTGTGGCTGCCGCGCGCTGTGCTTAGAAATCAACCATCCAATGTCACATCCAAGTTCGCGCACTATCTCTAACGCGCGTTAGATCTTCGTGCACCGTGTAAGACGATTGGTGAAGTTGCTCGTCCACTTTCATGCCCGTTGATCGTGGAAAAGTCGATTAAGTTGCGGCCAAGATCTGTTACTTTCCCGTCATCAAGATCTGTCTATTAATCTGAGGGGAATTGTTAAGATTGAGGTCATTTCTCAAGACTAAAGGACCTTGATGGCTCAACCCGCGCGGGTAACTCCACTTTATGATCGAGCCTCATCGTTGAGCTTATTCTTACCGCGCGGAAACCTTTTTCGGCCTCGTGGGCTTATGCAGATCATGAGAGGTCTTGGAATAAGCCTATATTAGTAATTCTCGGACAACACCCAGTCAAGAAGTGTGTGGTATTAACGTTATCGATGACTTGCATCAAAACTAGGACATACAAGAATAAGATATTAAATATGAGTACATCAGATAGAGTATAAAACAAGATGAAAGATCAATAATCTCGGTCACCCAAAAACATAAACACATACCGAAACTTATAACTATGTCCACCATTGAATACTTTCTCATCGCTGGCGCAACAGGTCGTCAAGGCGGAGCAACAGTCGATGCCCTCCTCACTCATCCCGATATCAAAATAAAACCAAAGCAAGTCTATGCACTGACTCGCCAAGCTTCTGGGTCAGGAGCCATCAAACTCCGTGAGAAGTACGGAGACATTAATATTGTTGCTGGCGATTTGAACAACCCAGAAGCAATTCTCCAACAAATAGACAAGACCATCCTTCCCAAAACTGGCATCTTTCTCGCTCAAGCCCACGGACCGAGTGAAGTCACCGATGCAAAGGGACTTATCGATGCTGCTGCTAGAAATGGTCTTCCGTACTTTGTGTACTCTTCTGTTGATCGAGGTGGTCGTGAACTCAGCGATAACGATCCTTCGTACTGCAAGACGTTCTCCGACAAATTCCTCATTGAGAAGCACCTCATCAGTGTCTGCTCTAATTCAAAGATGGACTACACGATCCTTCGTCCGACTTGGTTCGCTGATAATGCTTGGTGGGGTTTCCCAGGCCAACTTTGCATGACGGGTTGGCGAGAGAACATGAACGGAAAAAAGATGCAAGTCACTGTGACAAAAGACATCGGAAGATGGGCTGCCGAAGGCCTTGTCCGTCCTGATAGGACCGGAATACGAAATCAAGCTCTTTCGATTGCTAGCGAGGAGCTGAGCTTTAAGGACATTGACGACATCTTCATCAAACATACTGGCAAAGGCGTCCCTGTTACTTATGGCCTTTTAACACGATTCATTATCTGGATGATCAAGGATCTAAACACCATGTTTGGTTTCATCGGTGAGAGACCTTATGGTGCGGATCTTGCATGGTTGAAGACCCAGTTGGAGCCTACTACGTTCGAACAATGGGTCAAGACCGATGTCCCTGGACGTGACAACACCAAAGCTTGAGATACCCAACATAGCTCGAACAAAAAGAATGGCTTCTGTGAATTCGAACTTGCGACATGCAAAAACGAAGAGTGGCGCAGTGGGTGAGATTTTTAGGATTTTAGGTTCGGATTTTAGAGAAGGTGTATAGGTTCTAGGACGGATACCACTACACCACTCTTAGGTACTGGTATACAGAGTTGAATTTATATATAACACTATGCCCCGGCCAGAAATATGAGTAATTTTGACTATGAACCCTACCGTCACAGTCCCTGCTAGATGCTCTCTGCCCTGAGAGTAACGCCTCGAATTACGCCCGTTTCAGGCACACAATTCAGATACTCAAACCGTGCATCTCCTGCTCTCAGAATAGAAACCTCATGCCACGTTCGGAATTTCCTGTCATCCCCGAAGGTTTTGTAGTGAGTCAGTGCACCGCAGTATATAGCAAGATGAGACTTGTGACTCTTTGCCCAAACTTCAAGGGCCTCGAGGTTCGTGAAGAAGCCAGCACCGCAAGACTCTTTTCGCGGCCGAGGTTCCTCAAGCGAAGGGTCTTGATTTCTGAGATATCGTAGTCCCAAAGCACCCGTTTCAGGTGAATTATCCCAAAGATATTGCAGGCCAGAGTGGAGAGTGGGTTCAAGCCTTTTATTGTAAGAATCTGCTTCCTGTTGACCGCAGTTCTCCCAGAACTGTCCTGAGCGGATATGAGCTACGTTCTCATCATTGGTTCCGATGAGATACTGGCCAACACCGGGAGGAATTGTGACTGGCGATCTTGGCTTTGATGGAGGGAAGAGATCGAAGGCAGACGAGGGGATTCTGTCTCTTGCTGCGCCCCAGTACGCGGAGAGTTCATGTTCGGGAAAACTTGCGCCAGGGAGTTTGGCGAGACCGGGGAGATAATCGAGACCCGAGTAATTGGTTTCGAGGCGGGAAAACTCTGTGATGAAGGCCTCTCGCCAGATGCCCACTGAAGCACGGCCTGATTCTGGTAGTTGAGCGTAGATGGACTTCAGTGAGAGGTCATTGAGGCCGTTGTCGTATTTTGTCTTGTCTGACCAATAGCACACCCATATTGTCGATTCTTGGACATCACATCCATCAATCACCGCGAAAGTCTCATATGCCTCTGGTCCAGTGTCGCTGTTCACCCATGCTTGAATGGCCTCGGTAGCTTTATTTAGAGCGATCTCAGCATCTTGAGCATCAGAATGTATCTGAACCCCGATGTACGCGGTGCAGACGTGGGTGACATCATCTGGGAGGGCGAGGTGCCATCGTGGGATCGGGAGCTTGTGGCCTTGGGGTTTGCGGAGGGGATATTTACGCGCTGGGCACGACATGGTTCAAGTTCAGTTCTAGCAAGGATTAGTCGTAGCTTTTGTTTCGCTGTGAACAAGCGAAGGTTTGGTGATGAGGAGATGGTCGGGGTAGCTTTTGAGGGTAGCCATTTGATAGGTTGTCGTGGTTTGGAATCACGCCCTACGGATGATCACGCATTTTTTTTTTGGACTCTCCATGTTTCCGATGTGATCCCTCAAACGCGTATTATTTAGGTCTCGTTGGGTGATTCCTCATGGAAAGTGTCATTGATCATACTGTGTCTTTCATTTGAGACGACCCTCCCTTGTCATCTTGTCTGACTGAGATACATATCAGCATCGGCTTCTGACATCGGCACCTAGCATCACCGCCATAGGCACACGATGCCATCCTACGAGATATTGCGAATACGGTATATAGAAAAAGTTTATCTCCTTCTTCAGCATTGACCATTCCCCTCCTCTTGGCAGCTTAACCGCGGTCGCCACGCCACGGCGCATCTCGGAACTCTACATGCCACTACTTTTCCGACAACGGGGGTCTCCAAAATCCCGAAAGTGCAAAGTCCCCATCACGCAATTCTAGATACGTTTTTAGAATTCAGGGAGGGCTTTAAGGCATCTTATCTCCAGGCATCAAATTGCCTAGACAATCAGCCTAGACGAGACAGTCGCCTTCGGGATGGCACCCGGAGGGGATCATCAGTATTTACCGGGACTGCATATATTTATCCCGATCAGATGATGAGTAAGAGGAAGAGGAAGAGGAAGAGGAAGATGGGGTAACAACGCCCAGATTTGGGATTACGACGTTTGATGAGGGGTCGTCGATCGTCTAGACCAAAGTGATAATATCCTATCATTTTGTGTTTTGCTTACCCCTCGATATAAGTTGCATTGCGGACGTTGAGCCGATGTTGGGCTACACAGTATCAGACACTTCCAGAAGCCTCCCGTCTGCTCTAAAAGCAACTATACGCTCTTCAGGCTTCAGCTCTCACTTGTCTTGCCAAATCCAGGCATTATTGTCTATCTTATCAGTGAGTTATCAGTGGGCACGGCCACGGAATCGGCTTCCGATGACCGTCGGCCGGACCCTGGACCAGGCCCCGATTGTCCCTGAAGGGGCCTGAACCCATTGGATCCATTCCCCGCAAAACGCCATCGCGACAATTAGACACACGGTGAAGCACAATGGTGATAACTCGGCATCTCGGTCTCAGACGCTTACGCTTACGCCGATTATGGCTGCATACAGTCAAAATTACCGTTTGATACTTGCCGTTTTGCGGGGGATCAGAGTACATAACTCAACACAGGCGCCTGTGGCTGTCTATCGTAGATCTTGTTGTATATAAAGTCTTTGTCCATCCCTTTCCTCCCAGCTCTTCTTTTTTCTCCTTCGCAATGGCTTCATCCTCCAATCGAAACATCATTTCCAAGAACAAAACCCCTATCGCCGTCGCCGCCGCCCTTGTATCAGCTGCTGCAGTACTTACTTCCATCTACCGTTCAGTAACCACCTCCAAGATGTCTCACAACCTCCACCCCAGCCTCAAGAACGGCATCACCAAGGGTTCTCCCAACTTCTCTGGTGGCAAGCTGCGCTGCAAGTGCTCCTCCAACCCTGTCGAGGTCACCCTCAGCGGCCAGGTCGCTCACAACCACGCCTGCGGATGCTCCAAGTGCTGGAAGCCCGAGGGTGCTCTCTTCTCCGTCGTCGCTGTCATCCCCCGCGACCAGCTCCAGGTCACTGCCAACGGTGACAAGCTCACCATTGTTGACAAGAGCGCCGCTATTCAGCGAAACGCTTGCCGTGACTGCGGTGTCCACCTGTTCGGTCGCATTGAGAACGATCACCCCTTCAAGGGTCTCGACTTTGTCCACGTCGAGCTCTCTGATGAGAAGGGCTGGCAAGAGCCTCAGTTCGCCGCCTTTGTCTCTTCCATCATCGAGCAGGGCTTCCCTGCTGACAAGGCCAACGAGGTTCGACAGCAGTTCAAGGACCTTGGCCTCGAGTCCTACGATGCTCTGTCTCCCCCTCTGATGGACGCCATCGCCTCTTGGACCGCCGCCAAGTCCAAGATCTAAGGACTTCAATTTCATATATGCCTCAGGGTCTGGGGTCCATGTTACAAAAGTTTTGAGAAATGGTTAGCGTGGTGTTGAGGTCGGTCCGGTGGTTGTTGTTTCAATAAGAATGTATAGGTAGTCTCTGGGACAGAACGAGATGAACGGAGTTGGGTGTGCAGTTGAATAGGATGACACGGGAAATGTGCGCCTACGAATGATATGAACGAAAGAGAGGCTCAAAGATAGCTCTATCAATCCGAATTCATGACTTGACGAATCTTTATGACCACCATGCACTTGTGATGTGAGCCTGCTGACTACACAGTATAGACCAAAGCTGGTCATCAACTACAATTTGCGCATATCGGCACGTGATAAATCACATAATCTCATCTGTCTGTTTGCCATGTATCGAGAAGTGCTTATGAATTACACCCAATTCTATCTGCATTTCCAACACAGCTTTCAAGATCATAAGATGAAAGAACTCTATTGCAGGATGGCACCAGTGGCGATGAATTTCCGAGGTCTCCGCGTTTACACTATCCGTTATGATATTATGTTCAACTGCAAGGTCAATGGATTGAGACATGAATCACAAGTCTTTGATTTTAGCAGCTGAAGTAGACACTTTTTCACATACAAGATCAACTCCTTCTGGCCGTGTCACCCTTCCATGCCGACCTTTTGCCTGAAATCACCCTAGTATACGAGATAATGACCAATATTCACTCATGAAGTGGCGAGTTCTCAATGCTGATGGTGTTTGAGAGGACATATGCACATACTGTGAAATGTTACAGGGCACGAGAATCAGACGACTTGAAAGTCTTTCTTTGACAAATCAGCCCGCGGATGGCACGTTATCAGACTGTTTGCTCTTTCAACGACTGAAACAAACGGAAACTGGTTGACCACCAAAACTTTTGAAAAAACAGGAAGCATATCAGAGTCTAGATCCCATTTCGTCTCACTTACGTACTCCTTCTCAAGAATCTGGCGATTGAGGCTGGCTCACGGGCAAAGGAATGCATCACTCAACGATAACTCACTAACTAATACGGAGCGGGACGGGACGACAAACTCAATTTAGTCTGGCATTGGACATGTTTCTACAGAAGCGGTGATATCTTCTGTTTCTCTATGGTAACGTTCTCGTATGACATTCCAGTCAATGAGGGGAAAGCAGTGGTGGCTCAAGCTAGAGTGCGGCTGATGACCAGATCTGGACAGCTTCAGCAGGTGAGACAGAACTAGGTTCAAGTCATGGCTGAAATATGGCCATGGGATTCGGTCAGTGAGAGTAAACGAGATGCGATGAGACTACAAACGGATGATTTTGTATTGTGTAAGTTGTGACATGGCTTGTCACATACTCGAAGCCCGGAGGAAAACGACCGCGAGAAACAAGAACTCAATTCCGAAAGTTGATATGGAGAGAGCTCTCCTTCCTGAGAATATTTTGTTATTTCTCGTTCACCATCTTACTCGAGCTCCAGAGTTCAAAGTAGGTTGCAAATTTCATATCCCCAACTTCACTGAGCCATCAGTCGATCGATCATCCTTGCCCAAGATGGGTTTGTACGACGTATGCAAGACGCTCATCATCTACACCGC